GCTGGTCGCGCTTTTTAAACTTGAATCGCTGGACGATGACAGCAGACGGCCTCGGGTTGAGGTGGGCCACCAGTCCCGAGACGATGTCGTCGTAGCTCGTCTCAGAGGATGACAGTAAGCTGTGCCGGCTGACCGCGGCGCTAGGTTCTGGCCCTGGACATGAATGCATCGGGGGTGGCCGCCGTCTACCTCGACTTGTTACCGCGCCTGTTTTTGTTTCTGCGACTGTCGCCGCCTGCGGAACGCGCGCCGCTTTTGCGTCGAAAAGACCGTTTGCTAAAGGCGCCTGCTATCGGCGCCGTATGCTCGTTTGTTGGCGTATGTTGGCGTAAAGCCCCGTTGGCGGCGTTCGTTGCGCCATCTCTTGTCCCCGTGCGAAACGGTGCCGCGTGTTGTTTGAAGACCGGTGGCGTCGCTGCGTTTCCATATGAGCTAAGCCTTTTTCTTTCATTACTTTTTCCTCAGGTAAGTTCGCTCTTTGCAAATTTTGCACACAAAAAAAAATTCACCATCTGTGGGCAACCCTGCACAAAGTCGTAGCGCGATAGGTTAAGAAACCGAATTTTGCGGTCGATTTAAAGAGCCTGGCCTCTCCTTGAATCACCCTGTACATTATGTACACGGCAAGTATCAATCAATCAATCGTTTTATTTATGGCCTTTAAGCCAACGAAGACCCTAGACAAAAAGCTGCCAGTGGCAGCTTGACGAGGTCTGGGGCCCGTCTAAAATTTGTCAGCAGGACATCCATTCAGAACACAAAAGGATATTTTGTGTTCTGCTCTTTTTTTCCTAAAACAATACGGGATTGGAACGGTTTGCCAGCCTCGGTGGTCAACATTGTTCCTAACGATATCTTTTATTCAACACTAACCTCGTAGTGTCTAGTTAGTAGTTGAGTAACGTTCGTAGTGTTTAGTAGACCGCATTTTTATTTTTTATGTAGCCTGCACTTTGTTGTGATACTGAAATATTTATGGCTTGTGAATATTGCTCTTTTAATTTTTGTATAACTATTCGTGTTCTTCATTTCCAACTTCACCCCCCCCCCCCCCCCACCCCCCTTACTGCGGTGCCCCATGGCGCTGTAGGTATCTGAATAAATAAATAAATAAATAAATTACATGCAAAGATACGCTGAGTAATCACTTCATGCATTCAACTTCTAACAGCATTATACAAAAGAAAAAAAAATAAGTTATTCGCAGAACTTGTGACAGATTGAAAACATATACAGCTACATATAGAAGAAAATTACGCAAAACAACACAAGGCGCACAAACGCATAACTTCTAACAGCACTGTACAAAATGCAAACTTTATACGAAGGTATGGGTGTGCTCAAGAAATTTCACGGAACAATTCACAAGAAATGCATAAGTAATGATTTCCTTCCCATTTGACATATATCAGTATTATTATTAAGAAGATGATTAAGTAATAAAGGTAGAGGATATGTAATTGACTGGTAAGTATAGTTAGTACGAGCTCGTGGTACTATCCATTTTTCGAAAAGACGGGTGTTGAAACTACGAGGATGTTCGGAGAGCTCTGATATCTTGCATAAAAGCGAAGCATGCTCAGGGTATAGCGGTCCATAGCCGACCTGGTTGGGGCTAGATCCACGAGAGTCTGTTCGAGAGCCCGAGCGCGTGCGCGTGCTCGTGTCCCGCTCCGTGGCAATTTTCATAGTTGCCAGCACATAGCAGTTCTGCACGAACCGCCTCACGCCAATTGCTCACGCAGAGGCCGCCGCTTTTTCCACTACCCCTATCCGAGTTCACTGTACCACCGTTGACTGGTTCATGGCCTCCGAGATTTTTGGTGCGCAGGGAGAGCCGTTCCATTCGCCGAGAAAGACTAAAAAAATAGATGACAGGCCTAAATCGCTGGATATCCTGAGTTATCCAACTACCGCCATCGTTTGATCGTGCGCGGGCGCTCCTATTGGATGCCGTTGACGCGTTGCCATTCTTAACACCATGGCGCAGACCACATCCAGACGCGCACGCTCCTATTGGTCTGCAGCACGTGGCCAAAGTTTTTTTTATTACTTCAGCTGTAAAAAACCCGTGCGAGAGTCTAGCCCCCCTCACTCACTTCAGTTCACCTCCCGCTGAGCCGTTTATACTGTGAGAGTTTGGCCAATGTGTGGAGCTTGTTGCCTGTTAGACCCAGCGGATTTCGCGATAACACAAAATTGCGTTACTTCGTTGTCTTGCTTATTCCTGAGAAATCGCATCGATGTAGCATCGAGTTAATATTCGCGACTACAATTCACTATAAGTATCGCCACTCGTTCTCCAAAATCGCCGGTTTAGTGAGGGTCGGAGATGCGTGCCGCTGCTGAGCCTGTCTAGTTTGCGGGCTTCACTGAGCGACACAAATTATTTCTGGTAATACTAGGGTGTTATAAGCGCCAGACACCTCTTTATCCTGAAAACAAAAACGGTATTCAGTGTACTATTTCGGCCAGGAGGTACGTTTTAATTCCGGAGCAAAACCGAAACTTACCTTTATTTTGGATTTAATTTCAGATTCTTTCATAACTTCAGTCTTAATTTCAGATTTTTTCATATTTCAAAATGTGTCTCACACCGTAGTTGTTTAGTTAAAGAAGTTGTTCGCGGAAACCTTCGTCCCTTAATGACAGGGTCTTTCATACACCTTAGAGGTAACATAGAACGTTGTAGTTGTTGAAATATTCAGTGCTGATATTTGTTTGTTCTTGCTGCCTTTTCTCGCTCGCATAATTGTCATATGAAACAATGAAGTGCGGCCTTTGAATGGCTTTCTGGGTATTTAGAAGATTAATTGTTTTAATATCTTTCCCAGAACAAGAATAAGCGAATAAATCCAATTTATACGTTATATTCACAAAACGTATGAATCAAGAAACGCTGTTCTGACAACAAAAATTCCAAATTCAATCCGAGTGAGGCAGCTGAAGTGTGCGTGTTTTTAAAGCAACGCGTGACGCATATGAGTTTATATTGCATGCAGTGTTTAACTGTTTTTCTATTTTTATAACAAGGACAGAGCTTTTCCTATGATAAAAAGAAAACAAAATGATACCTTTCAGAAAAAAAACGATTATGGTTAAATTGCGTATTTCTCTGATCGTAGCATTAATTGGGGGCATACATTGCCGCGATTTGTATTAATAATAATATAAATATTAATATTAAAATATATTAATTTTCAATTTTCAAGCTCTAATATAATTAAATCTAATTTCAAACGGGCGAACAAGTCTGACAACCTAAAAACGAATTGACGTGATATTGAACGACGGTGTGCCGGTATTGGCGTAGCTTCCGTCTCGCAGTGCAGGACAGAACCACGGAATCTGTGACAAAGTCAAGGATGCTTTCTTGAACCCTCTCGTCGAGTTCTAAATATAGAACTATAGAACTAAAGAACGATATAGAACTAAAGAACGATATAGAACTAAAGAACGATATAGAACTAAAGAACGATATAGAACTACTATAGAGCACATGTGCATGAAGCGAGTCTTCAAACCTTTCAGGAATATTCAAACGTTCGCAGAGACTTCATAACGTCGCCGTCTTTATTGCTTTAGACTCTACCACTCCACGCGGGCGTAATTAATTTATCTTCGAAATAATTTCGGCTTCTACCACCCATATTCAAGAAAAGCCGGGTTCGTTACAACCGTGCGGTCGGGAGGAGGTCGTGTGGCTCGTCGATAGTTTCGGGCCGTGTTCCAAAATTTACTTAGCGTTTGTAAACCTACCCGCGTCCAGCGTTCCTCTATTTTTGTCGTCACGTGACATAATCCGCCATGGGGTAACTCGGATCCATTCGGGTATATTTGGAACGCAGCCTCGGTGTGTCACGCTCCTGTACGCCGTGCGTCATTTAGTTGCTGCGCTCGGAGTATGGAACTCGGAGCGTCGGAGTAGGAGTAAAGGAGCGCGGACTTAATGCGCCCATTAGAACCTGCGATGTGAGGAACCGAAAAACCATAGACTTCCGATCTAACGAGCCACGTTCTTTTGTTCTTAGACAACCATATTGAACCGTGCAATAGTCCGTGTCATATGAAGTCCGTTCGCAGTTGACGCTACAATCCGACGGGGGGTCAATCAAGTGGCGCCGAAAGTGCATCGTCATTGCGCTCGTTCCTTTTGTGGGTTGTCAATCACCGCCTAAACCAATCGCGCGCAGATAAAAAAGCGCAAGATGGCATCGCATTCACAGCGCATGATTGGTTTAGTTGGTGGCAGCTACGCAAAAAGACAATGGGCGCCGTGGCGATGCCCCTCTAGGCGCGGCTCGATTGGCTCAGTGCGAGGAGCAAGTCGTCTGCTTCTTGCTAAGGAGTTGCGGTGACGACAGAACGACTCCGAGCTCTGATTGGCTTTGATTGAAAGGATAGTGGGTAGACCTCAATACTAAATGCCTTGAGGTCTGCCCACCATTTTTGTCAATAAGCCAATAAGAGCTCGGCGTTCCGACCTCATCGCAAGCCATGTGCAAGGAGCAGACGAAAGGGCGCTCCACGTAGGATCATTGCGTTGGCTACAGTGAAGTCGGTATGGTAGTGGCAAGCATTAAAGAAAAGACAGATGTCGAAGCTTCAGCAGGACGAACGTTATATATATATATATATATATATATATATATATATATATATATATATATATATATATATATATATATATATATATATATATATATTAAATAAAAGCGTGGCTTTATCTGCTACTGCTTTTATCTGTCACGAAATGGTTAATTAGAGCTTCTCTAATCTGAAATTTTAATGCATTTTATTTTTAAATACCAGCTAAAACAAACGTCATAAATTCGTATGCAAATTCTAAGTTAAGCAGAAAATCCACTTTAGCAAATGTTATTCTGAAAAAAAGACAGACAAACAAACGAACAAACATTGTTTTGGATATTGTGTGAGAACAAACAATTGTAAATATTTGTTCTTGGAACAGCTTTCTAATTTTACTAAAGAATCACTACTCTGCTTTGACAATTTATTTGTACAAACAACCATCCCATAACCACTTAAAACTAAACAATGATTAATTGAGCGCATTCCAGAGTGCTCTAAACTAATTGCCGGCAATGTTGTGTCTCTTGATTAGTCATTTCTGATCACGCTCTAAACCCCTCAAGGGTGTCACTCTCATGGGGTCATTTCATTGCTGAACTGCATAGATCTCTGTCGTAGATTTGGTATTTCACTTTGCATAGATTGTCGTATTCTTCTTTGCATTTGGTTATGCTATTCTTGATATCATCACTGCCATTGTCCGTTGATTCGACTTTCATGTTGCCTTCAATGTGTTGTTGTTTGCCATCCTTGATCCATAGTTCACATCCTGGAAAAAATAAATTGGAATATCCTAAGTTTTTGTTGACTTCTTTTTTATTGCCCAATTTTTCTTATGCGACAAATTATAGCGCATTAATATTTCCGTGTATTTCCTCATTATTGTTATCCTCCACGCAAGACTTTTTATTCGAAGACAACTCCGCTACTTTCACAAGCAACAATTAAAAAATCGAAATTGATACTAAAATATAGTTTCGATAATAACATTTCACTTGCCCCACGTAAAAATTTGCAAGGAAATGAACATATGAGACGGCAACGTGCTAGGTTATACCGCCCGAGAAAGTGATGTTTTACATTCACGTTAGAATAATAGAAACATTACAATATAAATTGACGCACGCAATATCACTTGAATACCAAGAAATAATAACGGACCAACAAGTTACAACCTGGTATAAATAAATTCATCATAGTGTCTGCAACCTGTAGCAGCAATGAGGCTATCCTGGCTGTAATGTATTTCAATACCTGCGTCTTTTCTTAAATACGAACCTGATTGCAAGTGCGAAAAGAAAATATCCGAAGCACAAAATAAGAAACCTTTTTGGCCATTAAAATATGTCTTCCCGCGGAATGAATAGGCCCTATGAGTACTTAACATTTAAACTTTTTCTCACTAGCTTCATTTTTTTTTTTTATAAGAATAAAGTTAGAGCGTGATTTGTAAACGAGTTGGTCATCCCTAAAAGCATACATAACTAGTATGGAATTGTATTTTATGTAAACAGAACGAAAATTATATTAAACTATTCGTTCTCCTTTATACCGTAAAAACAGCTTGAAAAGCGCGCCTTAATCTGGTAACGAGTTTCACCACGGTGATGCAAAGGAGAGTTTGTGGATGATTGCTATTTTGCATGCACGTGCTATTCAAGTTAACTGAAGTCTAAATTCCTAACGTAAAACTGCGTGCGACGTACTTTGATATTGTCTTACATCAATTTATTTTTTTCTATTTTTTTATATTGCCTAGCCTGTATTCAAACGAATCTGAAGCATGTTGCGTCAGAAGCTGCGGAACAAAATGACTGGGTCACGTAAAGTTCCAGCCTCACCAGCTCATTCTGATCAATTCATTTCGTAATAGATTAAGTATTTAAATGTTAAGTTATTAATTAATTTATTCATTCATTCATTCATAATGTATTAATTCTAATAAAGAAATTATTTATTTATTTATTTATTATTTCAAACTCTTCGAAGCCTCTTCAATGGACCACTTAATGGAATAAGCATCAGAAATGTTCAGCATACATCGGAGCAGAGAAAAATATCTAATGACGTAATGAATTCAACGAAACAATATCAACAAAACTTCAAAATCTACGCACGTAATCGAGAATCCTGACAGTATGTAGTGTTCACACCCCAATATGTTCAATATCCTTCTTTGTTATACGCGTTTTTTGCTGCGCTGCATTATATAATTAATTTATTACAACTTATCGGTTCGAGTACAGATCGAAGAAAAAGAGCGGCCTGTTTTCTTATTTTCGGTTTTGTTTCGGTTTGATACCGTCGATAACCCATCCACAAGGCATCCTGTCTCGTCGGCGCAATTATGCAGAAATAAGACACCCTGCATGACGACCTTCTCCGCTTCACTTGAATTGCAGCCGACGGACGCTACGGTCCGAGGGAACCAATCAAGCAGAACCGAAAGTGCGCGGCCATGGAGATATATATTTTTTTTTTTGTGCGTTTGCTACCACTGTTGATACCAATCACGCACAGTGAAGGTGCCTTGTCTGTGCTTTATTTTATCGTGATTAATCTAGCCGGTGACAGCAAAGCTATAAAAAATTACACGCATGTTCATTCGACCAAACTCGATGAAATAGTAGCTCTAGTCTATAGGAACATCGTCGGTGAAAGCAATGAGGAAAGCAAATGGTACGGTGATGAAATAATAATAATAATGCCTTTATTGTTTTCATTACATAATGAAGGGTAGGTCGCGGAAAAAAGCTGTGAAAACAGCTTGACGGGTCCCCGACCTCCTACAGTGGCAGAAACATAACGGCTCAAACAAACAAACAAAATAAAAAATACAGCTGTTCCAAAAAACAGCCCTGGCAGGACAGATTGCCACAAAAACCATTACACTGTGCGGTTATTGTACATAGTAGTTTCGGAGCTCATTGATGGAGGGCGAGTCCAGTTGAAAGTCACGACTAATAAAGCTGTTAAGTGAATGTGGTAAAGTATATTTTAACATTTGCAGGTCATAGTTAGTTCCATGAGGTACCATCCTCCAGTATTCAGCGTGCCGTGTAGGATAGGTTACAACGTTTCTAGTTAACATCGCGAGAGTCGTCAGGAGTTGTGAGTTTCGTTTTTTATCTCTATGAAACGAGTGGTCAACCTGTAGCTGTACAAGTTATGTATGGTTATAACATCGTATTTTTTGAACAAACCAGCAGTATGAAAATCATGTGGGGCGTTGCAGATAATTCTAACAATTTTATTTTGGAGCAGGAATATCTTTTCTAAGTTTACAGCTGTGGTCGTGCCCCAGATAAGGTGGCAATAGCTGAGATAAAAGTAAAAAGGAGAGTTGTAAATAATCAGGATGGCGGAAGGTGGTAGGATAGAGCGGTTGCGGTTTGCTAATCCGACAACGCCAGATAATTTAGATATTACATATTGTACATGGTTATATCATGACATGCTCTCAGAAAAGATGACACCAAGTGTCTTAAAGCTGCAAAGGTTTTCAATGGGCGTTCTGTTTAAGATATGAGGCTATTAGTGCATAATATAGTCTTATTTTCCGGACGAAAAAGAATGACTTTCGTTTTTTTGTGTTTATTTTAATGAATTTGCCTGTACCCAAGACTATAGTTTTGATAACGTTATATTTGCATGGGCTATCACTAAATTTGGCTGGTCAGCGGGAAAAAATGTGCCAGTATATTCCGCATAAATGACTAGTTTAACCGTTTGATCTATGTTCACTATATCGTTTAAATATATATTAAATAGAAAGGGACCTAGTATGGCTTCCTTGAGGGACACCCGACGTGATAGTTCTAGTTACAGATGAATAGCCGTTTATGTATACGTACTGTTGTCGATGTTTAAGGTAAGAGTTCAGAAGCATCAACGAGCCGCCTCGGAAACCATAATGATCGAGTTTTTGTAAGAGTATGTTATGATTTAGGCTATCCAAAGCTTTAATGAAATCGACGAAAACACCAAGTACTAGTTTTTTTATTTTCAAAATGCTCTAGAATATAATCTTTTTGTGCTAGAAGGGCCGCTTCAGTTGAAAGATTTTTTCTAAAGCCAAATTGAGCCGAGTTTAATAAACCACACTTGTCAGAAAATTGGCTAAACCGGTGATGTAGCACTTTCTCGAGAACCTTTGAAAAGACTGGAAGTATCGAAATAGGGCGGTAGTCTCCTACGCCATCTTTCGCACCTTTCTTATGCTGCACTAACATTTTGGTCAATTCCATCCCTTTTGGAAAAACACTCGTAGCAATAGCAACATTAAAATATGCGTTAGCAAGGGAGCCAATAAGATCTATAACATACTTCACACGGCGAATCTGAATATTGTCGCCGTCAGTTGAACCACAATTGTTTAATAGCATTGTTATAGAGATTACTTCCATTGGAACAACTCGGTCTAAAAATATAGAGTTAGCATTGCTTTGATCGATGTGTCTGTATGCATTAAGATTGGTTGGAGTGTTGCCAAATTTAATAAAGAATTCATTAAACACATCTGCCAAGAGGCCTCCCGCTAACTTTTCTCCATTTAGAGTCAACTCGTCAACAGAACCTGAGGAGCGATTACGATGTAGCAACATGTTTAGGTTTTTCCCACAGGATATACGAACGCTGCTCAGATGACTTAGACAATGCATTGTAATAGCGCGTCCTCGCACGACGTAACTCTTTTGACAAATTGCTGCGGTACGCTTTAAATATCCGGAGCTTTTCCGGCTCTCTTGTTATTAAAAACCGCTTATATAATAAATCCTCATGGTTACTTTGACATTAAGGATCTTTTGTTACCCACGGTTTCCGCGCATTTTTTGATGCCTTCAAAAGTTTAGACGGGAAGTGAGAATTATATATATGTTCGAATTCATTCATGAACGAGTCATAAGCATCATCAGCATCATTTTAAGGTACTATACACCGCACTCCAATCGGCATTCGAAATGCACTGAAGGAAAGCATCTAGCTTGTCTAAAGTTATAGGCTGAAAATATACTTCGCAATTGTTTTTAGCATCTTTTGGTAAAGTTGTTTCTACACACAAAAATATAGGAAGATGGTCGCTCAAATCACAGCTTAATACACCAGATTTTAGTTGTTTATCAAAATTAGTTATAAACAGATCGATGAGGGCCTGATCGTCCCCGAGTTGGAGCAGATGCAGTGTTCACGCAGCAGTTTTCATTCGTAATAGTGATCATATCCCTTTTCGTAGCTCCGTCAACGAGCATGTTTATATAAAAGTCACCGCAGCAGATAATATTGTAATTGGACTCGTTTACAAAACTTAGAAAAGTATGAAAAAACTAAAAAAAATGTCGTGACGTTAACGTCGTGTGGTCGATAACAAACAGCAAACACATTCTGGTTATTACGCAAGCATAGTACCTCATAATTTTTGGCGACAACACTGTAGTCGCTAAGTATTTCACAACACATATTCTTTTTAGTTAGAAGGGAAACTCCACCTCAACGCCTGGAGTATGGTTTAAAAAGTTGGTGTTATAGGGTGTAAGCAAAGTACGCTATCTTCGTCCGAATACCAAGTCTCGGTAAGCATGATTATATCGAACACAAAACCGAACTGCTCCAATAGTAGCTCAATATCGGAACTTTTGTTTCTAGCCGATTGAGCATTTAGATGAAAGCATTTCAATGAGTTGTCATTACCAACGTTGCGTTTTAAATCCTGCGGAGCTATAAAACACCTTTCGGCCATTGCAGTGTACCAAGACTAACTGTGAAATCAAGAAATTCGGAAACTTATGCAATTTTTGGACAGGTCGTCTCGACACCGATCAATATGCGCTCGCTCCCGTCAGTTGAATAAGCAATAGTTGAACAAGCCGCGCAAACATCGATGATGACTTCAAGGACGACGTCTAAAACGACGTCGAGGACGACGTGCTAGAGGACGACATCAAGAACGACATCTAGGGTGACTTCTAGGACGACATCGAGGATGACGTGAAGTACGTTGTCTTGGACGACGTCGAGGACGACCTCTAGGACGGCGTCTAACACGGCGTCCTAGATGACGACGTCGAGAACGACGTCTAGGACAACCTCTAGGACGACCTCAAAGACAACCTCATGGACAACCTCATGGACGTCCTATAAGGACGACACGTTTACGCGACCGGCGCTTATACGAACGGAGCTTACGCTTCAGCCACGGGGATTAAGTTCCTTTGATTAAGTGAGCTTGCATTTCAGCCACGGGCGCTACACGACCTTGAGCGTAACTGGAAATATAAAGCTACCGCAAAAAAACAACAACAAAAAAACGGGTGTCGTGATGATGCATTTTTGGCGCTGCCTGATAGGCTCCATTGGATTGTATCATCGGCGGCGGTCGGACTCGCAGAGAAATGGAGTCTTTTAAGATACCACCGAACAAAACAAATATATTTATTTATTTGCGCATTGTAGTGCGATGTGCAACGACACAACTAGTCTAAATAAAAATTTTAAAAATGCGTAACGAGGCCCGAAAGCTGCCCCTGCGAAGGTCGCTCTACTCACTCGGTTCCAGTGTTCCAAAGACAACCATCACGTCGCAGCTTGAGTAGTCCGAATAAACGAGCCGATATTCAGCTGTCGCTCCATCAGTGGCTGTTGAACAAACGTAATACACCCAAGTTAGAAACGGCAACCGCTTTAGACCCCGACAGCTTCACAAACGCAGGGTGTGGCTAATCATGTCCACTCTCCTCGCTTCGTGATTGGTTCTTCGAGGCTCTCATCTGCTAATGCTGCAACTTCATTGGCTCGGCAGCGATAACGAGTTACTTAGGGCTCGCCACGCCTTGCGTTTCTTAAAGCCGTCAGTGACTATAGGAGGTTGCACGGCAGTCTTATGGTACGTTTACACTTGCGGATCAGCCAACGAATCCGCCCAGCATTTGCCGCTGGGTCGAAACGCTGGGCGGAAAACGCAGCGGCGGGCCGCCGAGGTCCAGGACATTTCCGCGCCGAACGAGGCGTTTCGCTGACCGGAAGTGACTTTCTTGCGCAGCGTTACGCTGCCTACGTCACCTTTACTAGATCAACTCAGTTATGGAACTTCCCATGGACGTTGTACATTGGAGGGGGTCCGAAACCGTGTCCGATTTTTTTGCAGCTAGGTGGCGCTGCTTTCGCATTAATCCACGCGTTTTCGTCTGCTACTGCTCCGCGGCTGCTTGCGAGTCCCGACTCCTCTCGAGGTTCAGCATGGTTTTTGGTTAATTTTCGCCCTTTCGCCAGTAAAAATTACAATTTGAGCATGAAAAGCGCTAAGACCGTTTTGGCATACGCTTTGCATTATTGTAAAATGCTGCTGCCTTAGCTGGTGCTGACAGCGCGAAGCGTTTCGAACAATCCAAATTCGTCGGCGCCACAATCCGGTGGCTACAGTCAGGGCAAGTTGGTACGTACTGTAATAGTAGATGTGCCGATGACTACCAACTGCAGCAGAAACAATTTGAAAGTCGTCTGCTACTGTCAGAAAAAGCGCCACGAACATTTGTAAGCTCAGTAGGCCAGATGCAACGGCCATGTACGATCTCTATGGCAACAGCCACAAGCGCGCCGTCAATGATGATGATAGCGAGTATTACTGCGGAGCGCGCGCCCTCTAACAGGCGCCACGCAAAGGAACCCCCCTCCGGAGCGGAGTTCCAGAACTGAGTTGTTCTAATAACGTCGGCCAACGTCACGAGTACGCGTTCTTCCGGGAGCAGCAACGCCCGGAAGAGACAGCCGCATAGAGTTATTATAACGTACGCTAGAGGTTCAACTGGCGCTAGTGTGGTGCTGCAAATTGAAGCAGACAGCAACCAGTCTGAAATTGACTTCCGGTAATGCATTTCTGTGGGAAAAAGCGAGTGCATTTTCTCTCTGCGCTCAATTATAAGAGCAAATATCACGAATAATTCGTACGTACTAAGTAGCTTGGAACATTTCTCAGTCAAGATGGTCAGTTACGGCGTTTTTATTTTAAATTCGTGGAATGAAAAACGGTGCTAAAACTGCTTCGTACGTGTATTTATGTGCATCGTCGGACACTGTTAGCGCGAACACGGCGTCGGCGCTTTCTAGCGTGGGGGATAGACGTGCCCAACGAACGAAGGACATGTGGAGAACTAAGAGAGACTGGAAGAACAACGCTGGATAAGCAACTCCTTGTGCAGGCAGATGATCAAAATAAATTGAGAGCCACGTAATATAGTCTGATTTCCCATAAGTATGTACTGTTTTATTATTTCTGCGCGTGAATATGTGCGAAGACGCTTGTTCTGGGTTCGAATCATCACTCGCACGCTCCAAATCTTTGAAAATAGGGAGAAGCCAGAGAACAGGTACCCGATAAAAACTGTCCGACATAGGAAATAATAAAAAGACGCACCATTTTGTAGCCCACGTACTTTATTTTTTATGTCCGAATGTTTTTTTAACCGATCGTAAAGATGAGCACGACGGGGTCAATTTCATATAATGACAGGCTTATATTAGCAATATATAAGCGCTGCCGGAATGCTAGCTAACCTTGAACACACTCTACATTCCTTTCCATCGTTATTTTGCTTAGAATCGTCGTCCATTTTTACATACCTGCCATGGTACAGAGATTCGGGCCTGAAATACAGCGACGTTTAACATCGTTCAGTGGAAAAGAAAAATGCTGTAACTAAAGCAATTACGCTTTCCTAATATTAATAGAGGTATATACTATCCGGTACAACCTAAATAACAAAAGTTATTCATGTTATTTCCCGGCGAAGAGACAAAATGCAAGCGCGATTTCCCATAGGAATGCACAGGAGCACCGCAAAATTAGACTGGTTGCTGTCTGCTTCAATTTGCCTCCCGGAAGAGGCGTAGACAGTAACGCCAGTTGAACCTCTAGCGTACATTATGATAAGTCTATGGACAGCCGACGAGGGAACTCTCGCGCTTTCTCGTCATATTTGACGGGACGTTACGAGAACAGCTGCCGCAGCCGGCTCCGCCACCGCCGCTCGAAGGAAATAGATGCAAACTTTACGCGCTTGTCGCCGCCGCCGCCGCCACTGGGAGCGAATTCGCTCCCGCGGCAGCGGATTTCTTCTCCACGTATCGGTTTGATCCGACAAGTCTAATAGATTATAAATAAAGTTGTGCCCTCCTCCTCCTCCTTAGGTGTAAACGTACCATTAGGCGGCATGTGGAACCACCACAGATACCGTGCTGTGTTAACGGGATTGTCCGGTCAAATTTCGTATTCGAGAAAACAATTGAATATCATTGTTATTGCCTCGAGACGCATCGTACGTGCAATATCTGAATTTTATATGCCCCTCTGCGTGAATAATTGAATTTATACTGCTCCAATCGCATTCTAGCGTAAACGCTGCTTTCGTTGGTAACATTGAAGCTCTGACGTCGCAAAACACAACGTGAGCATTTCGTTCAATCCCCACCCCTGCCCGTTTCGATCTGGATGAGCATCGTACTGGCGTGCGGTCGTGTATCGCTACTGCGTGGTGCACGTTAAAGACCCCAGGCTAGCGGTTGTACTGCACTGGCTAAATTGCTCATCTACAGCTGGGAGACTCGTCGCTCCTGTGAGGCAGACCAAGTTCTAGGCTGTATTAGCCCCGAGAGCGAACACAAGCGTCGCTGCGGTCGCCGCGCCCGGATTGGGTGAGGTGTACCGTGACGTCAGGGGGAGGACTCCGCTCCGCCATCTCGCATCGGCTCGCTTCCCAGCACCGGTTTCCTGGTTTGGCGTTGTGTGTCGCAAGCTCTTCGAGGAGCTGGACTTCGTTTACTCGGTGTACATGACGTTTAGTTAGGCCGATATTAACGTGCTTCTGTACATTTTATAAGCCTGCTTGTCCCTTTTAACTTTAAAATTGGGTTAAAAATCCCGAAAGCTATCGGTGGAGGCAATTCCGCCGATGAACCTCCCCGTCCGTCCACACGACACAAGGCAATCTTGCGAGGGGTCGGTGAAGCGGTGGCGCGAGTGTTTCAAAAGCTGGAATTCTGTTCCTTGCACGTTCACGATTTAAGACGATATCACATCCCGCTTTCAAGGCATTTGAAGTGGCATTTATATCATGGGCCTTTGGGGTGGTCGGAAAATTAGCTCGCGACTTTGAATCTGCGCTGCCACTCTGCATGCGCTGGTTCGCACATGTTTTAAAGGCCATGCGTCTGATGATCTTGAAAGTGCTCGTGGAACAGGGTTGTTTCAGATAAATGTAGCTTCTTCGTGAATTAATTATATAGTTTACACACGCATGCAGGCATATTTCTTAGAAGCTGCCCAATTACTGGAAATTAGCTTGTATGGTTGCAGGAAAAACGGCCGAATTGCCCCCAGTTGTCTGTAAATGTATCGGCCAAACTATGCACGGCAATAGTGCCGTAATATGGAATGTTTATACTTTTTCCTGTCATTCTTTATTCCAGCCTTGGGTATTCCGAAAATACACCGTTTAGTCTGAATTGTCATTTTCAATTAAAAGGGACACTGCAGAAGGTCTCCAAAAGATTCTTCAGCCTCCAAACTCCCTAGAGCTGGACTCTCTGACATCAGAGAAAAACAGGAGAAAAACAAGCATTCGAACGTCTGCCCAGTGGTAGATGCAGCACTATCAGCAGAAAATGTGGAACCTGTGAAGGGCGACAGTCTGCGGGAGAAAAGCTTCAGGTATTTTAGCTTCAGGACAATTCGATTTAAGTAAAATTTCAATTTTAGGGCTTAAGGGGCTAATAACGAGCTAGACACCTTCGCTAACGTTTGTTGTGCATTACTTGGGGGTTGATATAAACAAGTCCACAGATACCACCCGTGTAGTCTATTGAAATACTATCCGAATCCAGCAAAGGTCAAATGCGAGCAATGTATATAATAAATGTTCCTTGTTTTTTTTGTTTTTTTTTTTACTTTGCCCCTGCACTTGGGCTGTCTTACTTGTAATTCTCTCTTCATGGCCCAGGCTGTATTTAACATGTTGCTCGAACAGCATGCAGCTTTTCTGCTTCGGCGATCTTGTTTAAAAACAGAGATACAAAAAAAAAATAATATACATAACCTGCCAATTCATTCAGACCATCAGCATCATTTATTGTGCGAGATGTAAATCTATAGTGATGCTCCTGCAATCGTGGCCATATTTCTTTATTTTCATATACCAGCTGCGATTCATGCGTTGCCTGCCCTGTCAACCATGCTTAAAATGTTGGTTGAAGTTTCGCCTGTAGCTACAGACCATACCTCAATAAAGGCACATAAAAAAAAATTTTCACTTCAACGAAAAACACGCCAAAAAAATTAAATAGAAACGAGAGCGCCGTCAGCTACCGTCGTCACAGCCTCCACAGGGCGAGCGGGCCGAGTCGGGGAAAAATTCTCTCCTCGCCGTGACGTCACCCCGGTTCGCCGTAAGGGGGCGCCACGCGAACTTCTCGGGGCTAATAAACATATAGCATCTTCGATCAACTCGCACCGGAATCGCCCTGAAACCAGCACAGTGCACAGCGCTCCTCGGTCGTGCAGCGCGATGTCGGTGCAACATCGAGGACAAACTGCGCCGCGCCGGCGGCGCCGGTGCACCGCGGCGAGCTCCACCTTGCGTCACTTCACGTTTTGTTCGTTTTTTCTTGCGCAGGTCAGTGCACGGTGCCCGTCTGCTGTCAATTTCTTCTATTCTTTTACTCGCGGATTTGACGGTCCCACAGAAATAAACATCGTGGACGTGATTGCCGATGGGGTAAAGAAGCGGGTGACAATTCCACATGTATATGTTGGCCATCATTATTGGTTCAAGAAAACGAAACACCAGATAATAGCCGTACCTCGCTGTCATCGAAACTCCTCGCGCCGCTTTCCACGAAGTTCGTGCTTTCCGGGCGCTCCTTGCCACCGCAGCAATCGCCAGTAATCGCGGCGATGGCGAGAAGCTCGTCGTCTCGCCGTCAGAAGACCCGAGGAAATCATCTATAGTGCAGCTGCGAGGCGTGTTCGTTTTTGCAAGATCGCCATCTCGATAGTCTGCGCGTCTGCTACTCCCGCCATCTTCTCGATTCCCGCTCCTGGCCGCAATGCCTGATGGGACTGCCCCCCGGCGCACCACCGATTTTCTTGGTGCGCGTTGGGGCAACGAAAAGCCGCACCGGGAGGGTGCGCTTCGTTGATCGAGGACGTACGGTGCGCACCGGTGCACTTGATCGAAGATGAAGGGGCGCACCTCAGTGCCCCGGTGCGCACCGGTGCGGATGATCGAGGATGCTATTAGACACAACCCAACTTTTTTTTTTTTGTCTTGTCGTTTGCCTACGAGTAAACGCCTCAGCGTGCTTCGTTTTTGCTGTTGTGCTCAACTTGTTTCGTGGTTGGGTGAGATTTTTGTTGGGCGGTTGGGTGCCACCATAGAGTTATTATAATGTACGCTAGAGGTTCAACTGGCGCTAGTGTCTATGCGACTTCCGGGAGGCAAATTGAAGCAGACGGCAACCAGTCAACTTTTGCGGTGCTCCTGTGCATTCCTATGGGAAAACGCGTGTGAAATTTGTCTCTTCGCCGGAAAATAACATAAATAACTTTTATTATTTCGGTTGTACCGGATAGTGTGTACATTTATTAACATTGTAAAAGTGTAATTGCTTTAATTACAGCATTTTTCTTTACCACTGAACGATGTTAAGCTTCGCTATATTTCAGGCCCAAACCTATGTTTCATGGCAGGTATGTAAAAACGAGCTACGATTCTAAGCAAACTAACGATCGAAAATAATGTAGAGTGTGTTCAAGGTTCGCTAGCATTGCAGTGGCGCAATTATATATTGCTAATATGCCCGTCCTGTCACTCTATGAAAATGACTCCTTCGTGCTTCTTTACGACGGTTAAAAAACATTTGAATATAAGAAATAAAGTACGTGGACTACGAAAGGTGTGCCTTTTTATTATTTCCTATGCCTGGCAGTATTTATCGGGCACCTATTCTCTGACTTCTCCCTATTTGCAAAGATTTGGAGCGTGCGCAGGCGTGCGGTTGATGATTGGAACCCAGAACATGCATCTTTGCACATATTCATGAGCAGAAAGAATAAAGCAGTACTTAATTATTGCAAAATTTATTTTGATCACCTGCATGCACAAGGAGTTACTTATCCAGTGTTACTGCATAGTTCTTGCCGCCTCTCTTGGTTTCCCACGTGTCTTTCGTTCGTTTGACGCGTATATCCCCCATGGTGGAAAGCGCCGGCCCCGTGTTCGCGCTAACAGTGTCCGACAGTGCACATAAATACATGTACGAAGCGGTTTTAGCACCGCTTTTCATGCCACGAATTTCAAATAAAAACGCCGTAACCGACCAATTATTTTGTCTGCGTGACTGAGAAATGTTCCAATGTGCCAGTACGTACGAAATATTCGTGATATTTGCTCTTATAACCGAGCGCAGAGAGAAAATGCGCTGCTTTTTCCCATAGAAATGCATTACCGGAAGTCATTTTCGGACTGGTTGCTGTCTGCTTCAATTTGCAGCAGCACACTAGCGCCAGTTGAACCTCTAGCGTGCATTATAATAACTCTATGGGTGCCACAACCACCGGGCAGCACATGCGAGCAGAGACATGACGTTCCACACTTTTCCGCGAGACGTGCAGTGACGAGCAAAGTGGATCGTCGCGGTGCGTAGGGACTGGGTGCCCGTCAAGATCGAGGTCCCGCTCATCTCACAGAAGAGTGCTACGAGCTGAGCTCTAAGCGGACAAAAGGCTTGTAAGCTGAGGTGTGATGCTGTGCCAACGATATTAAACTACGTCCACCCACTCGTCGCCCTAGTCGGATCAGTCAATTGAGGTCTGTTCGATTCGCCTGAACTGGCTGAACTAGTTCGGTGGTGCAGGAACTGGTGGATTCGATTAAACCGGAAGTTGCACGACCGCTGCACTGGCGCGTTCGATTCATCCCAGTTCTGAACGAGTTCAGACCCAGTTCCTCGAAATCTTGCACCGGCTCCGAACTCGGTTCCGCGTTCGTGCAGAAGCAGACGACCAGAGCAGACGGCGATAGCAGAACTCCTCGTTCGTCTCTGCTCGCGGTGCATTTTTAGCAGCGCTTGCTCAAATGTCGTCGATGTTTAACAATAACGCCGATACGGAGGTTGCATTTCCTCTTATTTATGATAATAACGTACCCGCGGAGGACGCGGAATTGAGATCATAACCGCGGGGTAGGAATTTGCTTGATTATGATATTCTAAAGAGTAAAGCGTTTTAGGCACCTGCTCGCGTAGGTTTGGCTCCCTGTGGTGAGTGTTGAAATATTGGCTCACGTAAATTGTTTCTTTTTGATGCTATGTAAGGATCCACAGGGTTGATATTCTTACTTACAGACACGGGAAGGTATTGCCCTCTTGATAGTCCCCGCCTTCAGTTGCTCTTGGATACATATTGACGACTCCGATACATTGCAGAGGTCTGGGATTTAGTGCGTTGGCACTCGCATGTCCCTGTAGCTGAGCATAATACTGCATGCTTTGTCTGCTGGTATCTGTGGACGCCCACTAACGGGCCTGGGAAAACGCCGAGAATCGGCATTTTTTCCGATTCTCGCTTTAACTTGACGTCAAAGTTACGGCCGATAACTGTCTTGGCCAAGACGCTATCGTCAGGCCTTCGTCTTCGAGGTGACCGGTATACCGACCGCGCGCTGCCGCCAGTGACTCCCGACGCAAAATCATCCTGATGCCGCAAACCTATCGTCGAAATGCAAAGATTCCCTTTGAGGGGCATTTGCGCTACCTTCTTGATTTGTTACCGACTATAGTTCAAAAGTTCCTGGCTGAATCGAACAAACCTTGATTATGCAGCGAAACCGAAACCAAGAGCTTGGCCATCTCGAAGTTGTATTTAGCACGCGTGCAGCCCGATATCTGTTTGACCCGCGTGTGAAAATGGAGCGTAGCTACGATTCACCAAGCTCGTGCAAGTCAAGTGACGACATGCATTTGAATGGTTCGCCGTTTGCCTTCGACCCGCGGACGTCGCCTCTGAGGGAATGACCCGCAGCCTCATCACCGATCCAGTGGATCCGCCGAAATGCGTACCCAGATGCCGCTTCGTGTACCTAAGTGCCGCTTCAGCGGCGAAATCTGCATCCTTTGCTTTGCAAGCGCCCCTAGTTCGATCGGCGTCCGTCGTGGTTGTGTTTGCGCGAAACGGCATACGTTTGCTCGAAGCTTGTGGCTGTCTGCGAGTAATATCCTGCTAAAAGGCGCGATTTCTTTTGCACGTGCTTGGGAACAGCATTAAAAGAACCGTATTTCAGTAGGGTACTGCCTAGGAGACTATATCATTCGAAACAAAATACAAGACATCCATCGACCAACGCTTGTTATTCCGACCCTCCGACAAACCTTTGCATTTTGTGACGTCACGCAGTACCTACGGATGTCAGCCATTAACACTGGCGAAATTCAGGGCGCAGTTTCGTGCATAGGATCATGAAAGGTTTAATTAATAACGGGAGGTCATTTATCAAAATAAAAATGACGTTTGTGTATATGATGGCTCCCCCGACGTAACAAACGCAAGAACTTAAGTACTTTCGGTTTCGACCGCACAATGCCTTTAAATATAAAGCGAAGTCCCGAAGCCGCGTGATGACTTTAAAGTGACCGCATAAATCGGCTTGGTGACGTATCGCGCTATGATTTATCAGAAAGGTGACCGAAGGTTCTGGAAGATCCGGAAAAAATTTAAAAAAAAAACAACAATTATTGAAGTAAAAAAAGAAAGGAAGGTAATTGGTTTTCTTTTGGGACTGCATCTATCCGCTCGCTGCGCAACCTCTCACCGGCGCAAGCATCGATAGATGGCGGCAGCGGCCCCGGTGGTTGCTGAGCTGCCGGGTTCGCTGTTAACAAACAAACAAAACAGATTAAAAACGTTTCTCTTAATTTTTTTTTTTTTTGTGTTGCTTAGTTTGTATTTTGAAATTTTAACGCGATCCATGCTTCCACTATTTTGGTCACCCCTGTGGTGGACCGTAGTGCGAAACGTTACCAAACCAATTTTAGCGGTAATTTCAAGACCTTCAACAGGCTTTGGTACCTCTCCGTACAATAAGTTAAAGATATCAGGAAATTAAATTCCGGCTTACATGCTTCGCAGTTATCTGCATTGCCAAGTCGGATGATGTCATCGACTGTGCTGTTCCACGAACGAGCCATCGTGACACGCGCAGTAAATCCTATCCTGGAATATGAATTGTTCGAAAGTTAATTTCATGCAGTCGTGAAAAACAGAGATGGTTAGCCAATGACGATCGCACACTTACAATTGGGTCGTCTGAGCATCCCTGTACATAAGTCTGCTCGTAGCAGTCCTGGTTGTGTCATCTTTGTCGCATAATTTCACGCTGACACATTTCGCGGTGCCTCCGGTGCCACCATCATACTCGTAGGAGCGGTAAATCAGATAAAAGGTTTCATTCTGACTCACTGTCTGCAAAAAAGATATTGAAAAGAATCGCTGTCTTCATTCCACTGCGTGGCAGTGTTACGTTAAAAATATTTCGCTTTTTATTGCAGCTATTGACATCAAAGAAAGTTCTAAAAAAAATTAATAAATCGACTTCTGCGAGCCATACACTTTGTACCTCAACACTTTATCTCAATATGATCTAAACTCTGAGACCACCATGTCATATTTGTTGTAGGTATTCCCCTGCCATATGCAGAGGTAACCCTCAGGCAAACACCAGTTTCTACACCTTCATCATACAAAAGCCTGTCCCAGGGTAGTCACTCCCTCAAGCATGCAAGCATATGACAGGATGTTTTGGCTGGGTTCTTTTCTGCGTCGACACACTGGGGCTCGACAATACTAAGTCTTGTCGTCTGAGCTTGGCCTTCGTGCCATCTGATACCGTAGAAGGAGTTACACTGATCTTGGGTTACGATTCAGCTCCCATTCTTCGAAAAAAGTTACGGAAGAGAAGCAGTAACGCACAAGACGACACAAAATCTCGAACGCAGCCGGATTTATTTGCAAGGGAACAACAAATACTGTAAACGACTTCATTTTCGCGGCCTCAAAATTTCGCGAATGGGTCCAAAGCTGAAAATTTCAAATTATTCGCGGGTTCTAATTTTCGCGAATCGAGTGTAGCTTCCGTAGCGCTCACATATTTCCCGAATTGTTCGCGGGACGTATTTTTCGCGAATTGTAGGCGATTCGCGAAATTAGCGAAAATTAGGTCCTCGCAAAAATTTAGTCGTTTACTGTATATAACCATCCACACGGAGAGGAGAGAAGGAAGGTAAAAGACATGCCGCCAGAAAGATTTCATTGAATTCAGCTAGACAGACTGACCAGCAACCTAGACACCGCACCAAGAGCAGACACCCTCCGCCAAGCAATTCGACATAATAATTCCCGGTAAGGCTATGTGAACCGAGCAAAATACAGCAATATCCCAATCCAGCCTCCGCGGACCATTTGCCCTCTACATCACCAAAACAAAAGAAAAAAGAGGATCGGTGGCCGAGTGGGCTAGCGCACACCAAATCGGAGAACTTGAAGTGAAAGCTCGCGCTGGGGGCAGGGCCCCGGGATTCTGGGTTCAATCAACAACTCTGCACACTTTGATTTGGATGAGCAATGTACCGTCGTGCGGTCGTGTTGGATCAGCACTCTAAAAAAAAGAATAGCAGATTCTTACACGCCTTGTCCTATATAAGACACCCCAAAACTTTAGTAACACGGTCAGCGCGCTGACGTCGATCCGACGGTACCTACTTTGACGAGCTGCTTGATAGCTGAGTGGTACAAGTTATTGAAATAGCCAATGTACGTGTTGCTGACTAAAAAAAAAGTAATCGGGGTTTTCTCGGCACCAGTGCAAAGCCTCGGTACTTTTTTTTTTTTTTTCTTCTGTAGTCTTTGATGCGTACTTACCTGTTTTATGAGGTAAATCTCACCGTTATCAAGCCCCTACTAAACGTTTGGGCCGCTTGTTCGACGTTGGTGCGTTATACGTCGCACCGAAGCTTTGGGGTGCTTTATATGGGAAAAAACAATGTAAGATGACAACCTTTTTTTAGTTAGTGGTGCACGAAACTCCAGGCTAGCGGTTGTACCGCACTGGCTTAATTGCTCGTCTACAGCTGAGACACCCGACGTCCACTGAGGCAGACTAACTTCCGGCTATATCAGCACACGCACGCACGCACGCACGCACACTCACACAAAACAAAACAAAGCAAGAACTCAAAACAACAAAAAAATGCAGTCGTTCCTTCAAAACTATAGATGGCGGGCTTACAAAGTTTCTGTGGTTCCTTTTAAGACTAGTTTAAACGACAAACTTCCTTTACACAAAATTGAAGCTTCTTCCCATAATGGCGGGCACACAGATTCAGCAATATATTTTGCTAGTTCAGATGATGAAAATACATTTTTCACACCTCTGTTGTTTCTGAAGAGGTTGTCATTTACGCACCGACCCACGATCGAATTTAAGTTGGTACAACTTGGTACTTTGCTCGACGTGTTGTTACAAATGCTGACCTGTAACTTAAGGTCAACAGTGGTAGAGTTTAACGGAGTATTTTATTCGAGGGAGAATGTGTATGTCGGCCCTGCGGTAGCTCGGCTGTTGTCGGAGGTGTATCTCAATGCGCTGGACCAGGGAGGTAATATCTTTAGTAGAAGCTTTGGGGGTAGAAAACGTGATTGTTCATTCATTTGTTGACGACATATTTATATGTGCCCCAAATGAGTACTACGCAATTAAGGTTCGGAATTTTATTATCGAAGAGGAACCGGAGTTATTGTTCACGGCTTTTTCCGCGGTCGTGGGGGAGTTGCAGTTTCTAGGATCTCTGGTTGTTAAACCGTAAAGGATTGTGTTGGTCGCATGGAAAAGAGGCGGCGTTATCTAGGCCCAGTGCCCCTTAGAAACTCGTAAATGTTGGTGTTGTAAATTCTCTTATAGGGTATGCTCTAAAGAAAGTCGCGCATTCATTGTGTCGGCAGTGCGCTAGTGAGCCAGTTGAAGCGGTTGAGGTTAAGTGGCTATAGTTCGGATTTATCTGAAGAACTTTTGCGTAGAAAAATTGTATAAAGGCAGAAAGCTGCGGGTGCTTCAAACAGAAATGTTACTGCTGTAATTCCGTACTTTCACAGGTTTCCAAATATTCTCAAAGCTTTGGCTCAAAAGTTCGAAGTAATTGTAATTCTTAAGGCGGATTTCAGGTTAGGTAGTTTTACACCGTTTCTGTTTGAGCGAGAGCAGGGCTGTGTGAAGAGGCAATTGGATCCTCCAGTTGGTTGCGTCCAGGAAGTTGTGTACAAAATTCCGTTTCATTGTCGGCTCTGCTACGTGGGGACGTAACATTGTCCACAGGAGAAGTGTGCAAAAATGTCTTTCCGGTATCAGAACTATCCAAAGGAACAGCTGAATGTATTGCGTGCTCGCCATTATGGGAAAAGGATATTCAATATTGTTTATATAGAGTGATTCGTTTAAATGATTTTAAAATATATCTTAAGGGGTACTCCAATGACATTCGAGCTTCCGACCTATCCATGTTTTTACGTCATTAAAGTTTCGGGACCAAGTATTAGCCACGAACTATTATCCATTACATTTCATTCGATTAGGCAAAAACAACCCAACGTCAGGGGGCGGCACAGTGTGTTGAACGGTGTGCGTCGCATGCTTTGCAAATAGCACCAGAAAGGTCATAAGGCTCCTCCGTCTTCTGATTAAGAGAGTGTAGAGTGACAGACGAAAAGCGGCTACGTCTGATGAATTCCGAGATCGAACCCAGCCGGACTTTTTAATCCCACATGACCTTCTTTTCCCAGCAACGGCTCGGCAACGGTTCTGCCGGCTGACGACGTACGACGTGGGGTAGCACAGCACGCAATCACTCATCATTTAACCACAGTGCTGTGGTGCGCATTGGCCCTGCTAACTAAGTGTAGTTACGCCCAGGTGTTTGCGACACATTTAGCGCTAGACGAAACGCTTCGTTTGCACGGGGCGAGCAACGTAAATTATTCTTTTTTTACGGTTTAAAGAAGCAGATACTCCAACGATTCATAAAGTACTAGAGTGTTTGAAATAGAGACCGCTGCTCAGTAAAGCTAGACGCGGCGTGGACAACGCGCTAAACGTCTCGCAAACACCTGGACGTAACTACACCCAGCAGGGTCTATGCCCACTACACACCAGTGCGCATCACAGTGCTGTGGCTAAATGGTGACTGATTGCGCAGGCCGCAATCAGTCACCATTTAGCCACTGAGAGCGCAGGCCGTATGGAACATCTCAAATGTAACTAAACTCCGTTATCAAGAAAACGTAGTACACTAAGAGGTACTTTACGCGAACACACACTGTATGTCAGTTATCTTTTTCGGTCTCTTTTTTTCCCATCGGTATCAATTTTAATTATAGTTGTGTGTAGTTCAATTTATTATTTGTTTACGAACCATGATGGCCATAGAAGGAGAGATAACCAATTGACCTTAGTGAGCGCTTCAAGCCACTTTTATTGAGGCAACAGCGATTAGTCGGTAATTACCGTTACGGTGGCATCTGATTCCTGGTCGAACGTAGAAGCCCAGCCCCTCTTCCCAAACCCAGCTCTTTTGTTTCTAGGTCAAGCGTCCAAAGATAAGCGGAGTAAACGAAAGGGATCTTTTCTTCATTTTTTTTTTCTTTTTTTATAAAAAGGAGGAACTCTTTTGCGACTAGCGTAGTTCGAGTGGGCTAGAAGGCAGCATCCAAGTGCCACCTGGAATCGTAAAAAAAAAAAGAAAAAATTTAGTTCCTATTCAGCTGAAATATCCTCTTAATCAAAAGACGGAAGAGCCATTCGCAAAGCAAAGTGACGCACACCGTTTAATATAGCGGTTTCATCGAGAAAGAAAACTCAGCAAACGCCGGTGGGTACGTGTTTCCGTGGCACCAGAGGCTGGCTCAAGAGTACTCATACTGCAACATAGACATTTTAAATTTAAAAAAAAAATGAAAGCCGTTTACAACTCCCTGTAACGCTGAATCAGAGCGCAGCTCTTGAGGAGGAGGGGGGTAGGTACGGAGAGGGGGCTATGCCCCTCCTCCTCTCTTGCTCGCCGCCATTTAGGGGAACATTTTACGCTAAATTTAGCGCGAAACGTTTCCGCTAGATTTACCGAGGAAAATTTTCCACTAGATTAAGCAGGGGAGGTTTTCCAGTACATTTAGCGGAGAAAATTTTCCACTAGATTTAGTGGGGAATTTTTTTCCGCTAAATTTAGCGAGGAATTTCTTCCGCTAAATTTAGCGGGAAATTTTTTCCGCTAACTTAAGCGGCGAGAAATTTGCGCTTGATTTAGCCGGAAAAATTTTCCGCTAAATTTAGCGGGGAAATTCACCCATCCTGCACCGCGCGGTAACGCCGACGCTAGAGTTCCTGTATAGGCTCCCTACGGGAGCCAGAGTTGCGCATTTGTTTTCCCCGCGCCGCCACGCCGCTATTCGCCGAAATCCGTCACGTGAGGAGCAAAGCATCCGGTGGCGTGCAAGAAAGCCACCTTTACGGTCGCTCCGCCGACGTTTCTCGCGCCCCGGCGTATGTTTCCCTGCTTTCCGCCTCCTTTTCCTCCTCTCCTGTTTTCCATGCGCGGCGGCACGCGCGGCGCCGCTATTCGCCAAATTTAGTCACGTGAGGAGCAAAGCATCCATCTCGTGTGGGAAAGCCCGCTCTACGGCCACGCGCCGAGGCTGAATGCGCAACTCTGCTACCGTAGGTAGCATATACAGGAACTCTAGCCGACGCCAACGCCGCTCAAGCCGGAAACGGGCGTCTAAGGGCTGCGCTCCAAAAACAAAACAAAAACAGAGCGGAATCAAGTACGTTGCAATTCCAAAACCCTGCACGTTTCTTAGAGATGCGGCAGTAGATTAAAAACAGCGTTTCACGGTGATTTCTGTATAGGAAGGAGATATACTGAATGCCGATTGCGCTAGGTAATGAAAATAACGGATGGAAGTGACTTTCTAAAAATAAACTTGAAGTCGAATTAATACCAGATCAATTATGAGAATGTCGCGCATTGTTACTCAATTAATCAGGTTTTTCGTTCTCACCTTCCATGCGTCCGTATGGGTTTCACTTTCCGAGGTTGCGCAAATGACCTCCTCGGCGATTGCAGCCGCAACAAGGCTAGCAAGCACGACGTGCGTGAGATGCATTTTGAGCTCTTCAGTGGGACCAGAATGTGAAATCTGTGTTAGATATGAAGCCGTTGATTGGTTTATTATACAGACAACTGCAGTTTAAAAAAACGTAAAAATAATCTTTTTTCAAATTGTACGCTCCGCTTCGTTGATCTCAGCGATCAATTCCACAGGTGGCGCAAGAGTTTAACAGCTGCAGTAGAAACATTTCGCCATAAATCAACAATGGATATTGTAGTATTACGTAATAGCAAAACGGTCAGGCTATTTCTAATTGTGAGGCCTCCACAGCAGATATTGTGTAAACGGGAATTATGTAAGTTTTAGCCGCATTTTGATAAATGAAAGAGCAATACATTTCTTTCTTTTTTTTAATTTCTTGTGGTAGTGCGACTCGCGATATTTTTTTTTTTTTTTTTGAGCAAGACCTGCGACATGCGTAGATGAAGCACAATGCTTATTTACATTGTGAAATGTTAATTTAAAAAGAAACACGTTTTTATCATATTTTTTTATTACTCTCGTTTTGTAGACTGACAACTAATATTCGCATCAGTGTTGGTCAGGCCATTTTTTTTTTTATCAAACTGAAGTAATTTTTGCGGGAAGAAATTTTCTGACTTAAGGCCGAACTCCATGGAGCGAATTATGCGACGAATAACTGACGAACGACGCTGGACGGCACGCTTGCTTTGCCCGCGACGTAGCAGCCACTGTGCTGATTCTACGCGCAGAGCAAAAGCCGCCGGGCGCAATTCATCGATTTTTCGCAGCCTATTCGTCCCATGGAGTTCTGCCTTTACTAGCATGGTTTCTATGACCGCCGAACATCAGATCATCAGGAGGTAAATCACGAGTGATGTTTTCCAGACGACCGTATTAATTCGGAATACAGCAAAGTGCGTCTTCATTCTACATCTCTTTACGCTACAAAAACTTTTGCACAACACCGGAGATCTTTAATGGAAAGTTTACTCAAATGTGCGAGAGCTTGAATAGCCCTTCTTGAAATTAAAGATCAAAATGAACTGTTATTTAAGGGAACTGGCAATTTGAATAAATATAAAGGAAACCAATTAAATGTTCACACCGGCTGATTGGGAACACAAAAATAATTCTTATATTAGTGCAGACGCCATCCTTCTGCTGGCTTTTGGGGCATATTCGAAGGCGCTCATAAACGTCGAAAAACGACCCTTCACCGGGTGGTTTGGCGAACACTTTAAGACATCCCTACAAGTAGGGTGGATGAGGAAAAAAAATATTCTCGGTAACAGACTGCAAGCAACGGCTCACGTCCATGAATGGCAAAACAGAATAATTAACAAAATAATTAACTCAAATTGAATAATTAACTTTATAATAAACGAAATTAAACGCGCGACTCCAACTAGAAACTTGCTGCGCGTCATAAGACACCTAAGTAAGTCAATGCTCCGAAGAACTGAGGGAGAGGAGGAGAGGGTAACCCAAAAGGACTTCAGAACGCCGAGCTCTCCTTGGAATGATTAGTGGGTAGACCTAAAGCTAGCAGCCTTTGTTTCCACTTCACACGTTGTGCGCGTTGGAATCCGAGAATCAAACACCGAACGCGGGCGTTCCGCGTTTCACGCATTCGACAAGTGCAGAGGAGACAAAGGCTGCTAGCTTTAGGCCTACCCACTAATCATTCCAACCAGAGCTCGGTGTTCTGGTGTCCCCTTGCGCTCTTTTCTCCTCCTCTCCCTCAGTTTCTCGACGCATATCAGGAACACTCGAAGCACGAGGGAACCACGAGGGTGTGCGGAACAAGGTGCAGCAGTCGGAAGGGTGGCGATGCGAACATGTGGATGATACGAGATAATAATCTATGCTTTCGCGTAACGCCAGTTTCCTAACCTGTGGCAAAGCAGCAAAACCTTTGCGGTGTGAAGGGGGCCGGGAACCTCCAAAACAAACATCAAAACTGAGAACGTTGCTCTTCCGGAGCTTGACCGGCACCCTGTGCGACTTACTCGTTTAAACGAGTAAGCCGTTCAGGGTGACGGGGAAAAGCGGCTGGGGAAATTGCCGACCATAGGTTACGGACATGTTGACGTGTGTTCAGAAAGCAAACATGTCGGTATTTCTTTTTTTTTTTCTTTTTTCAAGTTTTAGGTTAAACTGGTACTTTGCGAAATTTTGTTAAGACGAGCTCGTGTTGGGCGCCCGCCACGTCATTGTGTAGGGGAAAATAAATTGGCCGGTAATAAACGTATTGTGGTGTTTAGGCTGTGCCGGCCACCAATGCATAGAGCACTGGTGGCCGACACAGCCTAAACATGTTTGCGTTCTGAACACACGTCAACATGCCCGTAGCCTGCGGTCGACACTATCCCCAGCCGCTTCGTTTTTCACGTGGGTTTTGATTCGCGTTTGCAATACGGCCTGCGACGTGTCACACGCGTTCATGTTCTGCAAACGTCTATGCCTTTCCGCCTGCTTGACTAATTGCCACGTGACAACGCAGCGCATGCGCACTTGCGACAAATCGGCGCGAGAGGTGTCCGCCATAAAATTGCAAACGCTCCCCATGATTTCAGGTGGATTTTTTCTCGAATCCAGGTTCTCTATCCCCGACGCATCCACCATTTTAGAACTACCGCCCCGCCGTCTATAGGGCGTGTGACCTAGCGAATGCTCCCCACAATAACATTCCTCACCTCAGTGCTGCCCAGACTCAGCTACCCTGCGAGCTACCGAAAACCAGAAAATATATAGTTTGAGTGATATCTATCTAAAGTGCCCTCAGCGCCGGTATCGGCTTCGAGATCAACCTAGAGCTGGCGCTACTTTCGCGATATCATCATCATCAAAGCGGGGATAGAAGCATGGCCGTAGTCTCTCCAGGTTTGCCCGTGAGTTGGTGTAGATTCTTGCGTTTAATTTGTCGCATAGTATCGCTAGGAAAACAATTTTAGAGGAAAATGGTGCGGCACTGCTCGGTGCTTCAGTGAAGATCGAATCGCGTTAACAGCGTACGGCCTAAACTTAAAGAATCGCTTGTGTGGATGCGTCGTGTGGTTCTCCCGGGGGCCACTGCCTTTGGGAGTGCCACGTTCGCGGCGAGACGCTCTACCGCGAAACGGGTTCGTACTCGCGTGGCATGCTGCTCGTTGAGCGCAAACAGACACCAGTCACGCTGGTCACGGTGATGAACTCTGTTCATTTACAATGAAACAAATAACAAGAACACAGCGGCTATAAGCTGGGGAACGCCGTCGGTGTGGAGATCGCCCACGGCTGAACGGTCGTTCACAAAGGTACAAAGGACGGGGTAAACGCTCACCGGTGCGCCGGACGGTTCCCCGTTGTCGCCGCCGCCGAATCCCAGGAAGAAGAGCGAGATACTGCTGCGGCAAAGGCGGGTTTTAAGATAACGGCGGGACGAAGTGGCCAATCAAGGACCGACACGTCGATCTCCTTTCTGCGAGGGTTCGTTACGAAAATCGCCCCTAGGGGGGAAAGGGGGAAGCCACTCACAGTAGAGTTCCTGTATATAGCTACCTACGGTAGCAGTTTTGCGTATTCAGCCTCGGCGGGTGGCCGTAGCGCCGGCTTTACTGCAGGCCCTGGATGCTTTGCTTCTCACGTGACTAAATTTGGCGAATAGCGGCGCCGCGCGCGCCGCCGCGCATTGAAGACAGAAAAAGAGGAGAAGGAAGCGAAAGCAGGGGAACAAACGTCGGGGCGTGAGCAACATCGGCGGGGCGACCGTAGAGTGGCTTTCTTGCACGGCGCCGGATGCTTTGCTCCTCCCGTGATGGATCTCGGCGAATAGCGGCGTGGCTGCGCGGGGAAAACAAATGCGCAACTCTGCTTTCCCTTGGGGGGAGCATATCGAGGGGTTCTACGTGTATGCTAGGCGCGCGCAGCTGGCGCAGGGATTTCCGTGCGGGAAAGGCGGGTAGCAACGAGTTCACGCCCGCTTTCATCTGTTCTTCAGCGCTCGTGTGAATTTATTTCAACCGTTCCAGCATGCCCGTCCGTCAGGTGACACGCGGAGACTATGGACGTTGCCCCGTCAACCTCCGGCGTAAAGAAAAAGCAGCGAGCGAAGCACTGCTTCGTTCCAGGATGCACGACATGGCTACAGGTCTGCAAAAGAAAAACACGTTGTTTGCCGTCCCGAAGGACCCAGTTCTCTTCTCTCCCTCACTGGGACAGGAATATTCCGAGGGGAGACACGCATCTTCAGGAAAACTCCGGGGTGTGCGCACTTCACTTCAACGAGCGGTACATCGAGCGATACTTCTCTCAAATATCGCTCGATCCGTAGAGATATCGCTGTATGAGTGGTGTTTTGGGGTTAAGAATAATAATAATAATAGGTTTGTTCACAAAGAAAGCATACATACAATTTACTCAGTCTCACAAAAGCACTTCCGGGCTTGTGCGTGAGTACTTACTCACGCACAAGCACGTAGCGTTCGTATTCTGCTGAACACGTCTGCGGCCAGTGTTCGGAAGTACTTTAAGTACATTGTACTTAAAGTACTACTTAAATTAGGTTTAGAAAACTTGTACTTTAGTTGAGGTACATTCTCTGAGTTTGAACTTGTACTTAAAGTATTCTTTTCTGCTGCTTTTCGAGGAAAGTACAATTCCCGACTTCAAAGTAGATTCCCCAAATTTGGTTTTGTTAAATTTGTATCACAAAGTGATGCCTTGTCAACTCCGAAGAAATACTGGGAGGGATATTCTACTCTCACCAGAAAACGCGAGCAGACGACGCATCGCCCCGTTCGTACTAAGAGCGGCTTTCCCGTAGGTTTTTGAACTCTTGCTACTTCTCGGTCGGTCAGCGCAAGCGAGGAGGTTTAAAATATTAGGAGAGGAAAATTAATCATAATGTAGCACCTAAGTCTGTGGTGTGAAAAAATTAAATTTTCAAGTCGAAGTGTAGACCTTTGTCCGGAAGTGCTTTTTCTAGCCTCGACCGCAAAGAGCAAAAGCGAACAATAATCTCGAACCCAGACGCTCACGGCGAGGAGGGGCTGCGTCGG